TCAGAGGAACGCTGAGCCACAGGGAGCATTAGAGGTCCGAGTGGGGGAGGTGGCCAATCCCACTGCAGGAGTAGGGTGTCCTGCAGGGAGTGGGGTCTGGTGGGGAGGGGGCCCCAGGTGTGATGTGGGACCCAGGGAGCTGGAGTTCCGTGTGGGAAGAGGAGGTGGCGGGAGGGGGAAAGGAGGATTTTGCCCATGAAGAAACCAAAACAGAAAAATTTAAAAGATTTTATTTATTTTCCAGAGAGAGGGGAAGGGAGAAAGACAGGGAGAGGAACATCAATGTGTGGTTGCCTTTTGAACGCCCCCTACTGGGGACCTGGCCCGCAACCAAGGCCTGTGCCCTGGCTGGGAATTAATCCGATGACCCTTCAGTTCACAGGCCGGTGCTCAGTCCACTGAGCCACACCAGCCAGGGCCAAAACAGAAAAATGTAAATGGTCAACCCCAGGCCTAGTGAGTGGCATGGGCGAATGGGTTCAGGATCATAGGAGCCACTGGGCCAGACATCCAGGAGCCTTGGCTCCGTTCAACAGTGCAAGGAGATCGGAGAGGCCAGGGCCTGCTGGCACCCAGCTCCCTGAGGAGCCATGAGCCCCCCTTGGAGGACCCTCCCGAGCAGGGTGAACTTCACAAACGACAGCAGTCCCAGCAGTTCAGCTGGAGAGGCCCTGAGCTGCCTGCCTGGGCTCAAACCCCGGCCCTCCCCGCACTAGCTGGTGACTGCGGGGAGACTGTTATCCCTCCTGCATGAGAGTCCTCATCTGAAAAAGGGGAAAACAACAAGACGGTCCTTGCAGGATGGAGGCGAGGGTTGCACGTGTGTGCAGCGAGGTTACACAGCGCCGGCACTGTGTACACAGCACCTACCCAGGGCGGCCCATGGGTTAAGTGCTCACTTCACCGATAGGTACCTGGAGACACAGCCGGGAAAGGACGCCTTACGTACGGGAGAGCCCTGCACCACAGCACGGTGCTGCTCCCCGAGCGGTAGCTGCCTGGCAGCTGCTGGGGGACAGAGGGATTAGAGCCGCCCTGACAGAAAGCGTCGCCAGTGCGGAGGTGTCGGAACGGAAGGTGATGCATCTCTGAGACTTGGAGCAGAGTTGCGGGCGAGGACGCCCACTCCGTGAGACAACCGGTAACACTACCGTGTGACCCGCAAGTTCGTGTCGTGGATGCAGAGCTGTTTTAGGCGGTTCATTTATCCACTTTCTTTTCGGCCATGGCCCTCCTTTACCTTTGCCTTGGCACCTGCGCCCCACCCCCACCACGTTCACGACCTGACCTCCTCCCTTGCTCCCTGTCGTGCTGTCGTTTAGAAACAGATGTTCATACTGGGAGTCGTTTTTGCCGTCGTCTTACGGAAATGAGGTCATCGTGCGTACATTTTCTGCATCTTGCTCTTCTGGCTTAATCATACCTCCCACGGCCCACTTTTCGGGAACACCTCATTGGCGAACGGAGGCACCTGGTGGGCAGGTGGCCCGGGTGGCCCCCAGCCATCCGCGGTGGGTTCCGTTACACAATCCATGCAGTTGTGAGGGCGTGTGGGTGTTTCTTGTGGGAAGTGGCCTGAGAACCCGAGCTGTTCATACTTTTCTGAGGTCAAGGGTAATGCTTTCAGCACAACCTGCCCACCTGTGAGCCTCACAAAAGCAGGTACAGGCGGGTCTTCTCACCTTTTCATCCCAGTGCCATGCAGGTGCCTGGTCCCTGGTGCCCGGTGGGAGCAGGTGTGTTGAAAATGCTCGGTTACTCTCGGCTTGCTGGCCAGCAGGCGAGCCCTTGGCTCAGGCAGGTGTGTTCTGCGGGCAGACGCACCGAGAATGTCCCGGACGACTGGGAGGTGCCGCCAGGCCTTGCTGGGAGGGGAGATCCGGGCCTGCAGCCCTCTGCCTCCTTTAGATGTCTCCGCCCTGGATTCGGGGCCAGCGCCGCCTCAGCGGCCCTCCCAGGCTCCTCTGCTGTGCTGTTCCTCCCCGGGCCGGGCTCCTGCTGTGTGCTGGGGTTCCTGTGTCCTGGGGCTTGAGGCAGTCTGTGTGTGTGGCGGGGGTTGGGGAGGTTGGCGGGGGGTTGGTGGGGGTTGGAGGGGTGTCTGGCTTCTCCACACCTGTGTCCCCCCTGCCCCCATTCCCAAGTCCTGGTGGCAGTCCCTATTCTTTAGCTCCAGGGGACAAAATAACTGGCAGTTCAGGTATGTTCTAAATATAACCAGTGCAGCAAAGAGGCTCAGCTGGAGGGTTGGGAGAAGTTGTATTCCAGTAAACGACTGTTTTTTTCTGAGTATTCTACCAATAATTGGAGCTGCCCTCTCCTAGGCTTTCTCTTTGCCTTTTTTTTTTTTTTAGCAGCAAATGTAATCGTGTCCCCTCTCCCTCTCCACCTGTGGCTTCCTTGCCCCGCGCCAGGGTCTGAAAGGAGTCTTCACTTGTTCTTGCATGCAGCCCAGCAGCTCGCTGAGCAGAAAGCAGGCTGGGGCAAATCTTGGGGAGCCCTGCTGACAAAGCTGGCGCCCACTCCCCGGTTTCTGGGTTCAGATCCCCCAGGACCAGGTGGGACCTCACATTGCCGTGCTCAGATGTCCCCACTGGGGCACCTTGGGGGTGTTCAACACCCAACTGCCGTGTCTTCCGGGCTCCGTCTGAGCAAACAAAGGCGTGGGCACAGCCCCGACCCTTCTCAGGCGCCCCCCCACCGTCCTGAGCTGCTGCCCCTGTGGAGGCGGCAGGCATCCGTGCTCACTCCCTTACTTTTATCCGTTTCTCATCGTGATATCAAGGGCACTGCCAGGCACCGCGTGTGAGCTCCATGAGCGTGGCCAATGCCGCTCACCCACAGGCAGGGTTGCTGCGAGTCACCAGAAGGGGCCCTGCCTGACCCGCCACTGCTCAGTTTGACACAGATAGAAGGGCACCTGTCTGTCTTGCCCTGGCTTCCCGAGCCGTGGAGATTACCACCTCCCCCTCCCTACACACCGCTGGATGGAGGCCTCTGAGGTAGCCCACCCTGGGCAGGCGGCATTCCCAGACTCTGCCTCTGGGCATTGTGAGTGAGGGTAGCAGGGAGGAGGAGTCCGCCCATCCCCCACCCCCACCCCCAGTGAGGGCTTCTTTTCTGCTGCCCCTTCACGGGGGCGGAGGAAAGGCTGGCGGGCCGCGGGCATTGCTGCAGAAGGGGGTGAGAGAGCCGCTGGCCCAGGGGCCAGTCAGTCCAAAGCAGGTCTGCTCGTCTGCTGAGCGTCAGGCAGGTGAGTGGTGAGGGCTTGATGTGCCCTTTAAGAGGGTGTTGGCTGTCAAAACAAGGCTGAGCTGCCTCTGTCTGCCGCTGGCCGTCTGGATGGCGGGGGCCGTGTCTTCTTCAAGGTGGTGACCCAAGCCGTCTTACCTGCCACAGATTTTGAGGGGACCAGGTGCAGGTAGTCTTCCTTTTGTTTGGAATGAGCAAGCCCTACCCTCCACTCCTGTTCCTCGTCAGGAGCTATTTCTGGAATCTTAACTAAGACCTTGGGCAGCGTGCAGAATGACCTGAGTGGTCGCGTCCTCAACTCTGTGTCTCTGCAAGATGCAGCGGCGGGGTTTGTGGTGACGTCTAGTCTGGTGGGTAGAGGGACACTGGAAAGGGCATTCGGTGAACTCCCATGCAGTGTGTGACCTTGTGCGAGTGTGAAGGAGGGATTTACTTGAGAGTGAAAATAAAATAAGAGCTCTCTCAGGGCGGCCTGGTGGTCCAGTGAACTCATGAACTCGAAGGTTTGACCTTTCACGGCAATTTTTGGGAAAGCCCAGACCACGGCCTCCCTGGAAGGGGGTGGATGTGAACGTCCTGTTTTGCAGGAGAGAGCGAGTGAGTGGGGAATCCAGCCACTGCAGAGCCGTGTGTCGGCTCTGATTTATTCTAAACGAACCAGCACTTCGCAGCGATGTAAAGCAGGCTTCTGCAGACCGCCCTCCCTCCGAAGTACGTACACCCAGCACACTACATAATGTCCTGTAACATTCCCCCATATGTCTCTTCCCCAAATACCAGTCTAATGCATATGCCGGCGATGTTCCCCGCTTACAGCCTTTCCTGCCGCGTCTCGTTTTCTCAGACACTCAGGGAAGCAGCGGGGGGGTCAGCGGGCATTTCGGGCGACACTAGAGTATATTTATTTGGATGCAGTTTCCGGCCAGTCCTTGGAAAGCCTCCGAAAGTGCTGGGTTTGAGCACTGGCTCAGCCACTCACTGACTATTAGAATCTTTGGTGAGTCTCTTATTTTTGTGACCTCAGCTTCCTACCTGCATCGTAGAGGCTTAGCCTGATGAATCCACTCAACAGGTGTCGATGGGACTGGTGCCACACAGTTCTCCAGATTGCGAATGCACTGGAAAAGTTCTTGGAGGAGATTGAAAGTGCTCCTCCAGTGAACACACAAGTGATAAGAAAGCAAAGCAGCTGTATTGCTGGCATGGAGACAGTTTTAGTGGTGTGGATGGAGGCGTAAACCAGCCATAACTTTCCCTTAAGCAAAGCCTAACCCAGAGCAGCGCCTTCACTCTCCAGCGCTCCGAAGGCTGGGAGCGGCCAGGAAGCTGCCAAAGGAGAGTCTGCAGCTAGCAGAGGTCGTTCGTGAGGCTGGAGGGAAGAAGCCGTCCGAGGAACGTACAAGTGCAAGGTGAAGGAGCCGGTGCTGATACCGAGGCTGCAGCACGTTCCCTGGAAGATCTTACTGCTTGAGAAGTGCATTTCATAAGGCCATCGCTGCCACAGGTTGGAATTCCTCTGAGGGATCCGGGCAACTATTGAACACCTTCTAGAAAGGCTACACCATTCTAGATGCCATTAAGAACATTCATGAGCCCTGGCTGGTGTAGCACAGTGGATTGAGCTCGGGCTGTGAACCAAAGGGTCACCAGTTCGATTCCCAGTCAGGGCATATGCCTGGGTTGCAGGCCAGGTCCCTAGTAGGGGCCACATGAGAGGCAACCACACATTGATGTTTCTGTCTCTGTTTCTCCCTCCCTTCCCCTCTGTCTAAAATTAAATAAATAAAATCTTAAAAAAGGAGAACATTCATGATTCATGGGGAGAGGCCAAAATATCACCATGAGCAGGAGTTCAGAAGAAGCTGATTCCGACCCTCATGGGTGACTTTGAGAGCTTCAAGACTTCCGTGGAGGAAGTCACTGCAGACGTGGTGGAAACAACCAGAGAACTGGAATTAGAAGTGGAGCCTGAAGATGTGACCGATCTTCATGATCAAACTTGAACAATGAGGAGTTGCTTCCTCTGGATGAGCAGAGAAAGTGGCTCCTTGAGATGCAAGATCCTCCGGGCCAAGATGCTGTGAAGATGGTTGAAGTGACAACAAAAGACTTAGAATATTCCATAAATTTAGTTAATAAACAGCGACAGCGTCTGAGAGGATCAGCTCCAAGTGTTGAAAGAAATGCACCAGTGGATAAAATGCTGTCCAACAGCAACCAGAGAAATCGTTCGTGAAAGGAAGCGTCCACTGATGCTGCGGACTTCATTGCTGTCTTATCTTAAGGGATGGCCACAGCCACCCCATCCTCCACAGCCACCACCCTGGTCAGTCAGCACCGTCAATGTCAAGGTGAGATGACCCCCCACCAGCAAAACAATTCCAAACTGCTGATGGCTAGCTTTTTTGTTGTTGCAACAAAGTACTTTCAAATTAAGGCGTGCACATGTATTTTTGAGCATTCTTTCGAGGGCAGGCATACCTCGGAGCTGTGGAGGGGAAGCCCCAGAATGTTTTGGTCTCCCGGTGCGCACAGGTTACGCTCACACTGTACTGTAGCCTGGGAAATGTGCGGGAGGGCCGTGTCTCCTCGCAGGGGGGTCACTGGCATCTAACGGAACAGTCAGTGCGGACACCTCACGTACTGTGTCAGACGCCTGTTGTCAGGGACGATTGTTCCCGACTCCCCAGCTACCCAAAGGGTCGCCCGCCCTCTTGAAGCAGAAAGACCTCAGAGGCAGCTCACCAGAGGCCTCGAGTGTGGTTTAGAAGGGAGGCCGCTGGGCATAAGATTTGGAAACGCACATTCAGGAGGGGAGGCTGGGGAGCTGGGGAGGGATGTGCCGGAGGCGATGGGAGAAACCACAGGCAGACTCTTCTGACTGTCGTTTCTCTGCGGCTGACCCAGCCCCTCGGCTGTACTGGCACCGTCACCCTGGGGCCTCCTCGGGAATCCCGCTGTGAGTTCACTGGAGAGGGCGGGAGAGACCGAAAGGGTATAAATACCTCGCCCCTTACAGGCCCGCAAAGCCCCCGGGGTCTCATTTTCCCCGGGGGAGCACGCCATCGCTGCATTTCCAAGACAAGGTGGGCAGTGCAGGTGGTGGTGTCTTGTCGCCTTCTTTGATGCCCCTTGTTCCCGGAGCTGCACGAGGGACAGGAGACAGACAGACCCACGTGCATTTCAGGTTGCATCCAGCAGGTTTGGAGGTCCTGTCTGCACCTCGGCTGGGGCTGGGGCCTGTAAGGAAACCTGTGATGCCTCCGCTGCTCTCCAGGCACAGTCTCGCTGGGAAGCGAAGAGATACATACGTGAAAACCAATATAACTAAAACAAAAAGTGAAACAAATTCCCTTTTTGAAAACTTGCCAAAATGTGTGTGTGAGCTGTCTGTGCTGCAATACTTGAGAGGAGAGAGACAGGATGGGAAAGGAAGGAAGGGAGGGGAGGAGGGAGGAAGGAAGGAAGGGAGGGAGGGAGGGAATCCAAGTTTGGAAGCAGTGGGAACACCATTGTGACCATGTCTTGGGTCACTTCCCTGGCAGCAGACCCTGAAATAAAGACTGGTTTGCAAGTGATTTATTGAGGAAGCACTTCTGGGAGAAACCAGGAAGGGACTGGGGGAGCAGGACTGGGTAGGGGAAGCACCAAGCAAGGGCAACGGCCCAGTGTCAGCCTGGTCCCCGAGGGAGTGCCAGCACATAAATGACATGGCTGATTCTGTCCAGCCTCTAGGCAAGGGACTTGGGCTTTGATAGTCCAGGGGGCATGGGGACGTAGCCTGCAGGTTCCTCTGGCTCTCTGCATGGGCGTGGCAGGGCTCTCAACAAGGTCGCAGGCACCAGCACCCAGAACGGTGGGCTGCGCGCAGAAGTGGTGAGAGGGACCCAGGCAAAGAGCCAGCGGCGCCCACTATGAGTGGAGGGCTGGGGCCAGGGCTCGGCTGTCTTCACTGCCAGAGTTGGACGTCCCGACTGGGTCCTCGGTTCGGTGGACAGCCTCGCAGGCTCCCGAGTAGGTGGTTGGCGCAAGGAGAGCAGGAAGATTTACCCGGTAGAGGCCCTCAGGGAGGTGGGAGTGGCAGAGACTACAGGCCAGGCAGGCACCTCCCTTTAGGGCCCTTGCGCTGGCTGTCCCCAGTGCCTAGAATGTTCTTCCCCAAGGATGTGGCCCGCTCCTAGATCCTGCCCCGAGCCTTCCCTGCACCCCACGTTCCTAACCCCCCTTCTCCTGCTCTGTGTTGTCCCTTCCCCACAGCGCTCCTCCTCTCCCAGTGCACTGTCCAGCCTCCAGTGCGTTCTACCTGCCGATGGTTGTCCCTCCTCCCCGGGAAACGGGAGCTCCGTGCGGGCAGGGATCTCGGCTCGCTCACCCATTCCTCCTGAGTGGCCCGCAGTGCCTGGCCCGTTGCGGGCACCCGGGACATGTGTCCTGTAATGAACTGCTGTGGGCCAGAGGCAGGAAGGGGGCGGCCGGGAAAGGAGCCAGGCAGGAAGGCCTGGACCTCAGACGTTCTGTGGGAGAGGCAGCGGGGATGGGCGGGGCCGACCCAGCGGCTGGGTGGAAGGAGGGCGCAGGAAAGGTGGTGATTAGGACAAGGAAAGGGAGCACAGCGCTGTGCCCTTGCTGAGTAGCTCTGCCCGGGGACAGAGTTCCAGGCGGAGCAGCATGTTGGAGGAGCACGCAGTACAGTGAGGCTCCGGGGGGCAGGTTTCAACCCCTGAGCGGGCAGTGGGGTGTGCAGAGATTCGGATCTACGTGGGTCGGAGTCTGAGGCCTGTGCCGGGGCAGCAGGGTGCCACAGAGGTTGTGGGTGGGAGGCTCCCCGCCTGCGGCCTTCTTCCTGCTGACAGGGCCGCTGGGGTGAGGAGGGCTCCCCAGGCCTTCCCTCTGCACAGAGCCCTTGGCGGACGTTCACCAGCCAGGCCCCCACTCTCTCTGAGGGGCCTGGGGGGCTTCATTCGCTCCTGGCGCGGTGGGGGGCAGCAGCAAGCATGCACTGTGGGGAGGCAGGGCCATTTAATGGTGCATGTGTGAGCGAGGAGGAGGATGGGGGCCGCCCCGAGTGGGATGGGGCCCCCGCCTTTAGAGCTCCCTGGGGCTCAGAAGCACCTGGGGAGTTCCGAGGAGCTGGAGGGGCGCACCATTTCTTGTCGGTCTGCTGAAAAGTTAGCAAGGGGAGGCGTGGGCTGCAGTGGGCCGTCTCCCTTCCTGCCCCAAGCCTAGGGACACATGATCTGGGCAGCAGTAGGGCGGGGGGGCGCCTCGGGTGGGAGTTCAAGAAGCTGCACTTGCCTGGGTGGGTAACAGCCACCGGGGTTCTCGATTTCACAACTGGAAGGACCAGCTGGGAGGCCGGCCTCTCCTAGCATGTGCTCCTCTTTCCATGACGTCGGCCTGGGTCTGTGATGAATGGGGTGGCCTTCTGCCTAACACGTCCCGTCAGCTCTTTTTGAGGCTGCCGTGGTCGTGGGGGAGGGCGGTGTGCCAGCTGGGTCCTGGGTGCTCGTCTTCTTCCTGCCTCCCCTTGTCCCCGGAGAGCTGTCATTCCAAAGAACGTCGTGGAAGTGTCTTCTGCCTTCGGGGACCCCGTTGCTCCTGGGGATCAAGGCAGACCCTGAGCGAAGTGTGGAATCTGTCCGAGGTTCTGGCCTGGCGCCTGAGGCAGAGTGCCTGCCGCTTCTGGAACTCGCCTTTGAATCGGACTGGCTCTGTCTCACCTCTCCTTTTAGACTTTCTCCCATCTTGGGCCTCAGGAATTTTTTTCTCCGTTTGTACCAGGGCCACAGGACATTTATTTCTCTTGTGCACTGCAATCTCGACAAACACTAGGAAGCTGACCCTTTCAAAGGGGTATTGAACTTGCAGCTGTAGGAAAATTAATAAAAAGAAGTCAAAGTTCAAAGCTTCCAGATGAACTTGATTTGGGTTAATAATTAATTTTATGCATTAGTTGGAAGGGAAGATATCAGAGTAAATAGGTGACTACTTAAAAGATTGTCTTATAAGGGACGTGCAAGGTATGGTGGCTTTTATATTTCAGTTATTTTCAAGTGCAACAAATGCAGTTCTGTTCTAGAGCCATGACAGATACGCCAACTTATTTGTTCATTACTCCATTTTCCTGGGGAAGAAAACGCTTCATTTCTCAGGCAGTGCAGAACAGCCTGACCAGCGCTTTAGCTAGACAGCTGTGTGAAGTGCTTGGCAGACAGAAAGTGCGTCACAGCGCGACTAGAATAACCAGAAGGAAGAGACGTAGGTGACACAGGAAAACTGCTTCCGCGGAGAATCGGCGGCACAAAATTTTATTGTGGATGAGATTTCTAAAAAATTATTCAAGACATCTAAACACATGTACATTAGAAATAGTAAAAGCAGCTGAACACCAAAATCAGCCTGTAATTAGAATATCAGTTTGGGCAAGAAAAAGGCTGTTCGGTCGGGCGGCGGAAGCCGTTCAGACACCCTTACTGAGCTTTCAGGAAAGGCCGCTCATCAAACTTTACGTCTGACACCCCCACTCTCTTGTCTCGTGGGGACAGAGGAAGGCGGGCGAGAGTGGGGACAGGCCCACGGAGGGGACGGCAGTGCCGCGACCACAGTCAGCATTGATACAGGTGGCTGTGCAACCAATCTTGAAAAACAATTTTCTATAAAGAAAGCAAAAAAAAAAAAAAAGATGTTTTAGGGGGTTTCAATTTACACTGAACTTGTTTCCAGCTTTCCAAGGAGGGGAATGAAACACCCCGCGGGCAGCCTGTGCTGAGCGGCCCGGGTTTAGGAGTCGGCACGCTGGGTCCCGCGTTTGTGGGAGGGGCCCTCTGACTCCCTCCCCGTGGGGCCCTGGCGGAGCGGCGAGGACGCGCGGAGCGCCCAGCACGCTAGGTTCTTTTTAAATTTCCGCCGGGATTTGTGCGGATGCCGATTGATCAAGGTAATGAAATGACTCTGCCCCGAAGAAGCGTCATCAGGCGCATGCTGTGGGAGAGAGAGGCTTTATTCGTCTCCGCGACGATGCCCCTGGCTCAGGCTGGGACACCCGCACTTCATCACGCAAAAAGCAAGTACGCCGGTGAACCGTTGCGTGTCAACATTTCAGAGCTAACTTGGCTCCAAGGTGTTTCTGTCTTGGAAATTTCCACTAATTCAAGCCTTGCACAGAATGCGATGTGGGGGTTGAAAACTGGAGACGCTATCTGGCTCGCTCCCAAGTCTTTTAAGGGCGGCGTTCCCCAGTCTCTGGTGCCGGGTCTGCTGGTTGGAAGGGCCCCCCGAGAAAACCACGCCTGCTGCGGCACCAGCCTTGCTCTGACTGGCGGTCCACCTGCCCCGCCCCCTCGGAGCGGGCGGGGGGGACTCTCGACAAACACACATTAAGGCACCTGGGACTTGTGAGCTCAAAAGGCCATGTGACAGCACTTTTCTCAGAGTGTGTTGAATGAAAGTGAGTTTGTTGAATGAAAATTACCCTGTGCTTCCAACACATGGGCTTCAGAGATGAGGCCCTCGCCCTGGCCGGGTGGCGCAGCTGGTTGGAGCATCATCCGGTGCATAAAGATGTTGCGAGTTCGATCCCTGGTCAGGGCACATACCTAGGTTGCAGGTCCAATCTCCCCATCAGGGTGAGAGGTAATGGGAGGCAACCGATCAACATTTTTCTCTCTCTCTTCCCCACCCCCTTCTTCTCTCTCTAAAAATCAATGAACATATCCTCGAGTGAGGATTAAAAAAGAAGATGGGGACCTCACTTGACATTCAGGAGGTACTTCCTTTGCAGCTGGTGCCAGCAGAAAACGTGACACCTGAAAGCACCAACAACTTCCAGGTTTGTGGGGCCAGGCCAGACCAGCCACACTGCCCAGCAGAACTGCAGAGACCCCGAGCCCCGCCCCGCCGCCATCCTTGGCCGAGAAGATGCCCGAGTGCACCCTGAAACTAACATCGTTTGACTAGTACCAGCAGTCCTAGTGGGAAATTTCAACTCTAAATTAATTCAGGTTTGCCCCCCAAAGCCTGCAATAACCTAAAAGAAACTGTTTTAACTCAGTAGAGTCTAAATAGCTTGAAACAAAAGGTTGAAATTCCCCGCACTACCCAAGGGATTAGGGTCAATAATAAAAGCAAATTTTAAAATGAAAATGAGTCAGCAAGGCAGTAGGCGTATTTTGTACCAACCTTTGTGTCTGTCCATGTAGCAAGCGCTAAAGATAAAAGACATAAAAGGACCACCAGAGTGAAAAGGAAAACACCACAAAGTAGTTAAGCCCAAACAAAGCTTAACAAAGTGGCAGTTACAAAGTGGACTTCACCCCGGACTCTGAGCTTCCCCGCCGCCAGAACGAAAGGAGAAGCACAAATAGTCCCAGGCGTCACTATTTTATAAGGTGAAAGCAAACAGTTGTTCCAGAGAAGGTTTCCAAACACCAAAGATGGAGGGACCAGAAGGTGCCGAGGGATGTAGCAGATGAATCACGAAACTACGGCGTTTGTTGATTCATTCAGCGAACATCTCCAGAGCGTGCACAGTCCGATTCCGTGCCAGGTGCAGGGGATGCAACAGCGGGTAAGGCTCTGCCCTGCCCTCGCAGAGCTCGGAGCCGCGCTGGGTTCCAGGGGCCTGTGTCCTGCAGGCTCCTTAGTGCTGGCCGGGGGCACGCGCCCGACAAGCAGTTCCAGCACAAGCGGCTTTATTGGGGGTCGAAGGCTTGTTGGTTGGCTTTGTAGCTCATCAATGGTCTTGTTTGGTATTTAGGCTTTGATAGGAGTCTCTATAAAAATGAAAAGGGATTCAGCCACTGGTTCCTTACATACTGATGAGCACTCATCTGTGCCAGCTGCTGTGGGGAGACACTGGCATGAATACCAGAGGTAGTCCAGGCTTTCTGGAGCCTCACATACAGTGAAGGGAACGCCCCCGGGCGAGTGAATCAGGGTGGAACACGACAGCACAATTACAGGGCTGCGGAGGGAGATCTCTGGGGAGGTCTGCCTTCCGCAGCGGGAGTGGAGGAGGGTCTGCCAGGAGGAGAAGTTTGAGCTGACTCCCGAAGGATCAGGGACAAACACAAGAATGGCTAACGCTTGGTGCTCACTTTCTTTCTTTTTAATAATTTTAATTATTGTTCAAGTACAATTTTCTATCTTTTACTCCCATCCCAGCCCACCCACCCAGCCCTCCCCACCTCCCTCCCATTTCCACCCTCCCCTAGTTTTTGTCCACATGTCCTTTATACTTGTTCCTGTAAACCCTTCCCCTTCTCCCCTGAAATTCCCCTAAAATTCCCTCCCCTCTCTGGAGCTGTCCCCTGCGCTTTGTGTACATGCTGTGCGTCACGCTAACTTACTCCAATCCTCACAATAGCTCCGTGAAGGAGGAACTGTGACGACCCCCATCTTAAAGATACGGAAACTGAGGCACAGGGGAGTTAGTTCGCAGTGTGCCTGGGCCGCCTTGCAGGTAAGCGATGTTGGCCCATGGAGCCCTCTCATTCTTTGGGGAACCTCTCCTGAGATCCCTGATGAGGCTGGGTTTCCTGGCTGCGTGCTCTAATGGCACTGTATGCTTTTCCTTCTCAGAACTTACCGTGTTCTGTATTTATTTATACGCTTATCTGCACAATCATTTATTTAATGTTTGCTTCTCCCTGCAGACCATAGTCTCCGCTGGGGCAGCAACTGTGTGTGCATGTTCTCACTATTTAATCCCCAGAGCAAGAGTTTGGCACACACAAGGCACTCAACAAATATTCGTTGAGTGAGCGGAGCCAAGAGAGGGGCCGCGCTGAGTGAAGACTGCGTGGTAGAAGCGTAAGGTGGCAGGGCGGTGGGGTTCGGAGATACCTGGGACAGATCTGCAAATCAGGCCATCTCCATGGCTGCCTCTTTGTTGTCGTACGTGTTAAACCTCTGCCAGGGTTGCCCACCCAGGAAGGTAAGCGGTTTAGTTTTCTGGGTGGAGACAAGGAACAGGGAAAGAGGTGGACAGTGACAATTTGCATTCCATCTCGGGTCTCTTTTCCTCCTTCCTCCTCCAGGAGGCAGGCAGAGAGGACCTCGGGCTGGAGGGTGGCTCCTGACTCGCCTTCCTCTGTTCCTTCCTTTCCTAACCTTTCAGGAGTGTGCCTCACAGCTCGGGGCAGCAGGCAGTGGGGTGTGCTTCCTGCCCCTGGCTTCTCTCTCGCTGGCTGCAGCTGTGGCGCTGGTAGGACCAGGCTCAGCTCCTGTCCTGTGACACCATGTCACTCTTCCTTCGCATCCTGAGCTTCCGCTGCTTCCTGGTTTCTATTTCCAGGGGAGGATGGCGGCTGAGTCTATATTTGGTGGGGTGTTCTGCTTTTCTTTGGCACATTTGACTCAGTAAGGCTGCATTAATTAGACCAAGTTCAAGAGCCTGGAAACCAGCAAGTGGAGTTTCCTGGCCTTTGCTACTTCTGTAGCCCGGAGGCTGCCAGGGATGATGCGGCTGCTCGGGGCCCAGCGCCGCCTGCCATTTGCATGATGGGAGCTTAGCTTCTCCCAGGAAGAATCGGCTAAAGAAATCATACACTGTGTAGTTCTTCTGCCTTGCATTTCCTCATTAGTCTTCTGAGTCAAATTAATTTATTTGTTCCATGAGTGCCTCCTAGGGACACGAGTCTATGGGAAGCTCTAAAAAGGAAGTAACTAGGGGTTATATCAAAACCAGGGACATTTGTGGCCAAGGTTGCTGAGCGGACATAGGGACTGACTATTCCGAGAGTGCTCAGGATGGGCTTTGCAGGGGGATGGAGTTGCAGTTGGATACTAGGATGGGTAGGATTTCGATTGAGGTAGATTTGGGGGTGGGGTTCTAGAACGGAATTCCAGGTGGAGGTGTTATGTGAGCCAAGGTCAGAAGAAGGTCACATTTGGGGCCTGGCAAGAGGATCGGTGTTATTGGAGCAAAGATGTCACGTGACGGTAGTGGAGGGAGAAAGACGGGTTTAGGGGTGAGGGCTGGGCACAGGGAGTGGGAGCACTTTTTGGGGGTGATGTGGGGTGCCACAGAAGGTATTATAGCAGGGGCATAATAAGATAAAACTTGGATTTTCGGAAGCCACTTGTAAAAGAAGTATCTCCTGGAAGATACATTAAAGGAAGGAGAAAGTGCAAACGAGGAGACCAGTTCCGTTCACGTCGGTGATACCAGCCAACACAATACTTCCTCTGTCCCGGGCATTGATCGTTCTCTCCATTTCATATGAATTCGCCATTTAGCTTCAAATCCTCTGTTTGGTACTGTTATCTCTGTGTTACAGGCAAGAAGATGCATGCACAAGGAGGTTCAGGGACTTGTCCAAGGTCATATGGCCAGTGACCTGTGGGACCCGTGTTTGACTCCGTCTGGCCCCAGTGTTCCATACTCTTAATACTACATGATACTTGTTCCCCACCGTGTGTGAGGAACTGCCAGCGACAGACAAATGTCAACAAAGTACACGTTTTATCCTTCATCACTTATTTAAGAATTATTTTGATAGACGATAATTAAGTTTTTAGAAATCGAGATGGAACTGACATATAATGGTAAGTTTGTGTACAGTGTGCTGGTTTGATGTGTGTCCCTTGCAGTGTGGTTCCTACAGTAGCAGCAGCCAACCCTTCCTCACGTCTCCTGTTTGTCGTTGCTTGTTTTGTGTTAGGGACAGTTAGGATTTAGTCTCTTAGCAACTTTGAAGCTTATAATACGTTATCATTGACTATAATCACTATTCTGTGCATGCGATCTCCAGAATTTACTTATCTGCTAGTTGTAAGTTTATATCCTGATGCAACATCCCTTTCGTTTCTCTGTCCCCAGCCCCTGGCAACCACGATTCTTCTCTCTGTTTTTATAAGTTCAGTTTTTTTTAGATTCCACATGTAAGTAATGTAATACAGTGTTTGTCCTTCTCTGTATGAATGATCTCAGCATAATACCTTCAAGGTCTGTCCATGTTGTCACAAATGGCAGGATTCCCTTCTTTCTCAAGGCTGGATTATATTCCAGTGTGTGTGTGTGTGTGTATGTGTGTGTGTATTTATCTATGCATCTGTCGACCCACACTTAGGTGTATTGGCTACTGTAAATAATGCTGCAGTGAGCCTGGGAGTGTAATATCTTTCAAGATAGTGATTGTCTTTGGATAAATAACCTAGAAGCGGATTTTCTGGGTCACATGTTAGTTCTATTTTTAATTTCTTGAGGAACCTTCATACTGCCTGCCACAGTGGCTGCACCAATTTCCATTCCCACCAACAGTGCACAAGGAATCCCTTTTCTCTACACCCTCACCAACACTTGTTATTTCTTGTCCTTTTGATAATATCCATTCTAACAGGTGTGCGGTGATATCTTATTGTGGCCTTGATTTGCGTTTCCCTGATCATTAGCGATGTTCAACACCTTTTCAGATACCTGTTGGCAATTTATGTGTCTCCTTTGGAAAAATGCCTTTCCTGACCCTCTGCCCATCTTAAAATCAGATTGTCTTTTTCCTATTACTCTGTGTGCATTCTTTTTATATTCTGGATTTTAACCCCTTACCAGGCATAGGATTTGCAAATACCTTCTCCCATTCTGTAGGTTGCCTTTTCATTGTGTTGGTGGTTTCCTTTGCCATGCAGAAGGTTTTTAGTTTGCTTCTGTTGGCTCCTTTCTGGATCAAAGATACATGATGGGACGAGGGGTGGGGCAGAAAGGAAACAGCAGAAATGGAGCCGCTGGGAAGGCTGGGAAAGTGTGTGCGGGTACAGTGCCTTCAGAGAGCTACGACTCCGCATGAGCCTGACCACCGCGCTCAACACAGTCTGTGGGGAGATACACTCCTTTTAGGGTCGTCAGTCTGATTTTATTTCAGGACTCAGCTGGGAAGTTAGTTTTGCATTTGAGGAAATTTTGTTTTTTTAGACTCTCTCTGTGGCAGAAACTGGCAGGTGCTCACTACACCCATTTCCTCTTCTTCCTGGGCATGCCATTTCCCTGCATTTCTCCGTCTCCCTCGCAGTTGGGTGTGGCCACGTGACTGAGCTCCAGCCAGTGGTTTATGGGCAAAAGTGACGTGTGGCACCTCCATGCCTGGCCCATAAACCCCCTGCGTTGTCATCCAGGCTCCTTCTCCTCTTTGCCTGCTGGCCCCACGTGGAGAGCGGCACCGTCTCATAGAATTTTCTACGATGATGAAATGTTCTGCGTCTCTGTTGTCCAATATGGTAGCCACGTCCTCATCGAGCACGTGAAAGGTAGCCAGTGTGCCTGAGAAACTGAATTTCGA